TTTTTTTTTTAAATAATAGCTTTTGAGATAGGAAGCCAAAGGAGGAGACACAGGTGTATTAAGTACATGAGATAAGCCAACCACCATAGGTGTTTTAAATTTCCATGAAGGACAACTCCTTATGTACCTTTATAATTACATTTAATTTTAAGAGGCTTATAAATGTCGTGTTGTTTTTATTTCATCGAAGAGAAGGCATGCTAAACAACAGTAATGTATATAACAGGTAGTGTTGAGGTTTGAATTTGAGTCTTTTTCCATCAGGCTATTTTGGCTCAAAAAGCACTGAAAGTTTTCCCAAAGGGTATGATGCTTAAAGTAATAGTTTCCCATAGAGCTAGAGGAACTGGATTTGAGACTTTTTGTCTTAGTTACTTTTTCATCACTGGTACACAGTACCTGACCCCCACAATGTAAAGGAGGAGAGGTTCATTTTAGGTCAGCTTTTCAGTCTGTGTTTGGCTGGCTGCAAGTCTGAAAAGGCATGATGGGGTCTTGGCAGAGGAAAATCTGCTCATGCCATGGCTGCCAGGAAGCTGAGAGACCCATGGGAGGAAACTGGGAGGGTTCATTATACCACTAATGGGTATAATGTCCCCATGGTCCACTCACTTTCCAAAAGCCCCACCTCTGAACACATGAGGTGTTTGGGGAACCTTCTAGATCTAAGCCATAACACTATATAAAGGAAATGATATCATTTAATGACTAAAGGTTAAAATAAGTGTTAGGTGCTCTGGTGTGGTTAGTGCTATGGTGATGCTGAGAAATAAAGAGAAAATGAATGATAGTGCATTTCCTTCTGTATTCAGTCCACTTATATAGAAATAAAAGCACAAGATAGTGTGTTGTAAGTGATTAGAAATAGGAGTCAGGGCTGTGGGAAAAAGCATGAAGTAATCCATCATTTTAATAGGAAAAGATTTTTAACAAAGCTATAAAATTATTCTGTCCTTGGGCCGGGGATTTAGCTCAGCGGTGCTGGGCCTGCCTCTCAAATGCAAAGTCCTGAGTTCAAACCCCAGTACCAGGGGGAAAAAAAAAAATCTATCCTTGCTTTTTAACTGAGAATTTTATAATTTCTCACTTGAAAGATTTTCCAGACATCTTAATTTAACTAACTGCTTCCCAATTCCACATTGTTTTTTAACATAGAATTCTTTTTTTTTTTTTTTCTTCCGTACTGGGGATGAACTCAGGACCTTGTGCTTGTGACGCAGGTGCTGTGCCACTGAGCTAAATCCCCAGCTGTAATACACAATTCTAATGCTTAAGCCTTTTAAAAACTATTAGCACTTTCCTTTTTCTTAAAAGTTTTATTTAATCAAGTGAACCTTGAAGTTTTCATGCTCTATTTTGCTTAAGCTTCTTCCTGAGTATAGAGTTGGCAGGCAACATTCTGGAGCAGTTGGTTTTGTTTTCCACAGTGACAGAAACTTATAAATAATTGTGTGTATAAAAACTAGTGTAGGACCGGGGATTTAGCTTAATGGTTCTACCGCCTGCCTCGCAAGCATAAGGTCCTGAGTTCGATCCCCAGTACAAAAAAAAAAAAAACTAGTGTAATGCCTCCTTTCCCTCCATCCTTCTCCTTTTCTTTTTACACTTGTAGTAAGTAATTCATGTAAGTTCATGATTCTTTCGGGGTACTTAGTTAATTTTTCCTTTTATCCTTACTTTATGGCTATTTTGCTACCTGTGCTTAAATATAATAGGAAAAAGTAGTGATAAAATTTCTTATGCTTAACATAGCTTAGAAAAGTGATTCCAGATAGTGCCCAATTTTGTTTTCAGTATTAAAGTCCTGAGTTTTCTTTTTCATCAGACATTTTCAGTGCTGGGAATTTAGTTCAGTTTTACCTTGCTGCCTCAAAAGGGCAAGGTCCTGAGTTTGATCCCTGGTACTGAAAAAAAAAAAAAAGGACATTTTCTTCTGGTGTAACCCTTTATGCTTTGGTAAATATGTTTGTTTTTTCTGCCTTCGGAATAATTGTTGTAATACATAAATTACAATTTATTGAAACAATTTTTTTCCAGGGTCTTATTTTTGTGGTAGATAGCAATGACCGTGAAAGAATTCAGGAAGGAGCAACCGTACTGCAAAATATGGTAAGCATATACTTTATATTTATCATTTTCAAGATGTGTGTTACTGTGTGATGGTAGTGTTAGCGGTTTTTGCACTTTTTTTTGTTTTTTTTGTTTTTTGGTACTGGGGATCGAACTCAGGTCCTTGCGCTTGCACAGCAGGCGGCAAAACCACTGAGCTAAATCCCCGGCCCTTTGCACTTTTTTTTAGAGGTAGAAAGAAAGTTAAGGAAGGACACTGTTCACAGTTTAAGAATGCAAACAGAAATCTGTAGAGCTATTCATTTATTATTCTTGTGCTAAAGATTGAACCCTGTGTCTTGAATGTGCTAAGCATGCACTCTCTCAGTGAGCTACATCCGCAGCCTCCTTAAAGGGAGCTTTTTAAAAACACAAGAGCAGCTGCTTCGGTTACGTTGAGAAAGGTGTGCAGCTTGTTTCAGAGGGGTCCCTGGTTGGTTTTTGTTTTTGTTTTTGTTTTTGTTTTCCCATGGTTGATTTTGATGCTTGACTCTGGTTAAGGATGTCTGATTTAGTCCCGACTCTCATTTTACAGATACACTATTATTTATACTCATTCAGTTTTGACTTAGGAATCTTGGTTTAAATCCCTTGTTCCCCATATCATTGAGATCAATTTTCTCTGTGCTTTGCCTATAATTACTTCAGAAATATTTTGTAGTAACAACCCTGGTAAAGAATTCTTCTTTCTGAAAGTAGAGGTGATTTGGCTGACAGTGACATTTAAGCCTTGCCATTTATCACGATAATATTTTCGTGTATTTATAGTGTTCAAAACCCTGAAGAGAAAATCTGCCTGGGGAACCTTGTCATGGGTTCAGACTTGTAGGTATTAAAAAGTATTTACCAAAATGAAATTGTAATTCCCATTCATTGCTGTTAGGACTTGAGAGAGTGCAGTTTATAAATAAAACCATTTTGCCTGTGTTTGTAACTCAGTCTATGGTGTCTTTTTGTCAGATGCCACCAACTTGTGTTCTTTTGTAAACACCTATACTGAGATATCACATAACATAAATTTAACTGATGAAAATCAGTATTTTTTATCCTCTCAAAAAAATCTTAGAATTGTTAGAAACAGTCACTTCCCATTGCCTTCCTCTTCTGTCCCTCACACCTTGTTCCTGACAGCCACTAATTTACTTTCTGTCTTTATACAGGCACTTTTTTTGATACACATTTAAATAGAATCGTAGTATACGTGTTTTTTTTTTTTACTAGCTTCTATGATTTAGCATGAGTTTTCAAGGTTTATTCATGTTATGTTACATATCAGTACTTATTCTTACCAGCTTCCATTCTTGGTACTCTTTTTGCACTTTTTACGATACTACTAAGGTCCTACTAATTGTATTGTTGTCTCACTGTTGTGAGGTCCAGTTGGCTGAAGGACAGAAAGAATTACAGTCATTTAAATACTGCTGCTAAGTACAATTAGATCTTGTCTTAAACAAACAACTGATTGTCACATTTTTTTTTGTCCTTGTCAATCCTGATCCTCAGCAGATAATTATGGAGACTGAGGGTGAGTGATTGACCTTTTTGGAATGTTGGATAATTGGCTTTAAGTAGTTTTGTTTTGCTTGAAGGCATATGATGTTTGCTTTGGATTTAAAAACAGAAGAATATGGGCCGGGGATTTAGCTCAGGAGTTCTGCCACCTGCCTTGAAAGCGCAAGGACCCAAGTTTGATCCCAGGTACCAAAAAAAACCACCCAAGAATAGTACAGTTAAATTTGTAAGAGTATAATAAAAGTTACATGGAGAGAGTTGTTTGATGTTTAATAGTGAATTGAATGTTGAATAAAAGTTTTATATGTATATATGTAGAAAGGCAGTGCTTTGAGCAGTTACAGCAGTTGGATTCCAGTTTAGTAGCTGTTAATGCCTTAACTTTTATTTCTAGCTTCAGGAAGATGAGCTGCAGGATGCAGTGCTGCTGCTTTTTGCAAACAAACAGGATTTGCCAAATGCTATGGCCATCAGTGAAATGACAGATAAATTGGGTCTTCAGTCTCTTCGTAACAGAACAGTAAGTATTTGGAAGGTGATATTAACGACCTGACTCTAAGGGTTACAGAGATAATTATTGTGGGTAATACTCAGTTTAAACATTTAATATTTATCCCTTTGGAACAATAAGTACATCATTATAAGAATGTGGTACTATAGGCTCTTGTGTTTATGAAAGTCAGCTTTTCAGATTTTATTTTAAACCTTTGTAATTTTGTGCTAAATTGTGCTTTGAAGTGTATTGCTAACTTCTTCATTATGTAACATTTAAAGCATTATTTAAGTATTCAGAGCTTTTAATGCCTTTATTTAATTTGATTTTTGTTAACTTTATCTTTAATATTTTAAAGATATGAGAAAACTAGTGCAGAACAACTGGAATATGTGAAGAACAGTGTTGTCATTTCTTTAGCACCATAATAAATGGTGGGAAGTTGGGTAAATCCAATAGACAAGGAGGCATAGCTTTATGTAGGAGGCAGGTTTTTTCAAAAGCAAGAAGTGTAATAAAGCTTTTAGTCTAAAGGGTAATTTCAAATAATCTTTATTGTTACTGAAATCAATAAATAGAAACAGAAGCATATGTTCATGAGATGTAATAACATTTCCTCACGTTTATTTCTGTGTTGTAATACAATTCTGTTTCCTGTTTTAACTGTATATTTGTGGAGGGAAATATGTAGTTTCTTGAATAAGAAAAGTTAAACACCCATTCTGTATAATCTTGTTAATCAAATATTTTCTGGTCCTTTCTTCACAGTGGTATGTTCAAGCCACTTGTGCCACACAAGGAACGGGTCTGTATGAAGGACTGGACTGGCTGTCAAACGAGCTTTCAAAACGTTAAGTGAAACTGGATATCTGACCACGGACACATTTGATAGAATTGGTCTAGGCTTGTTACAACACAATTAGTTTGCATTTTGGTTATTAAACAATATCTGGGACTGGTTTGGGCAGAACATTACAGCCTTTACATCATTTTGTGGCCAATTATTGTTTACCAAGTACAGTGTTGCCCTTTAGCAATATGCTTGGTTTTAAAGACATTTTCCTTGGGGAAAAGTATCGTCTCTCAGTTTTACTTTTTTTAAGCCTAAATGCCTGGACATAGCTATTGTGTCACCTTTAAATCGTTTTGAATGTTTTTTGAGCCCACCACAAATAATGATTTAGAGTTATCCCCTTGCTACTTTACGGATTCCTTTATCATTCCTTGGACAGTCTGCTGATTGAAAAATGTAGCATTCCATTTGTATTTATTTCTATCCCTTGCCAAAACAATTTTCTAA